CATCAGAAAGTGTGATCTCTGTATCTCGGTGCGATGTTTTGCCGATGGCTTGGACTTCATCAAAATCTTCTAATTAGATTTTCCTAGCATGTGCCTTCCTGGTTGAGCTGGACTATCCGCCCCCTGCAAATCCCCCAGAAATGACCCGAATTTCGCCAAGGGCTTGTTGGTGCTGTTGAGGGGGTTCTACAGTAGCTCGGTCTTCTCGGCCTTGATTATTCCGAGCTCTTCCATCTGTCGCCACGTAGTGGCGCAGGTGTCCCCTATGGATCAGATACTCTATCTCATTCTTGAGTTGTATGCAGTTGTTTGTCTCGTGGCCAATGTCCTTGTAGTATTCACAGTATTTAATGGTGTCCTGCCTGCTTGGGTCAGATTTTATTCGCGGTGGCCATCGGATGAACCTCTCATTTTGGACCTCGTGGAGGACCTGAGCGATCTAGGTGACAAGGGGCGGGAATCGAGCTGGAGCATACCACAGCTGCAACTCCTGTAGAGGAGGTCCTAGTCAATCTCGAACATTTTCTCTCCTTTTTGGGGAAGGCTCTCTCCCCCTCCTCAGGGAGCGGTCTTTTCTTGGGGAACGGTTGTGCCTCTTCTCTCTCTTGGGGCTATGGTCCCGCTTCTTCTTGTCTCCTTCCGACGTTGCCGAATTTCCTTTCAAGAGAAGATATTTTTCGCCTTTAATGTACTTTTTAGCCTTCGCTAACACCTCGCCCAAAGTTGCCTAAGGGTTCTTAGCGATCGAGAAGAGAAGATCCTTGGACTGCACTCTGAGTCCCGACATGAAGGTGGTTAACGCAAATTTATCGTCCACGTTTTTCACCTTCAGGCATTCCTGGTTGAAGCGTTGCACGTAAATTCTGAGGGACTCATTTGGTCCCTATTTAAAGCTCAGCAGGTGGTAGGATGGCTTTCTGTACGTCCTTGCTCCGATGAAATGTGAGACAAACTGTATTGACAGTTCCCTGAAGGAGGAGATTGATGCTAGTTGTAACCTATTGAACCAAGCTATTGCCGATCCCTTCTAGGTAATGGCAAAAGCTCGACAGCCAATCGGGTCTGGATACCCCTGGAGTTCCATGTGATTCTTGTAGGAGTTTAAGTGGTTGACTTGGTCTTTGGTCTCATCGAATGTCTCTATCGATGGCATCCAGAACTTCTGAGGGAAAGGGAAATGGAGGACCTTAGGTATAAATGGCGACTCGATTTGCTGGACTAGGGCATCCATGGTGTTGGGGGCCTTTCCTTTAACCACCTCTTTCACGTTGCCTAGCTCTCGCTAGAGTTCACGGATTCTCTGTTCCTACATGCGATCATCGGTTTCGAACGGGGGATGAGGTCTGTCCTGTCAAAGGTTAGTTGTAGCCTGACTATAGGCTTCGTCCTTGTTTTGTCCTTCAGGGTGTCTCCTCCAATGGTTTTCTCCAGAGTGGCTACTATGCTCGTGGAGCTCTGTGAACCCATTTGGTGGAGCCTGGCGTCCCCGCAGAGGAGCGTCGTGACCCGTTGGCGGTGGAGAGGGCTCTTGTTGAGCTAATGGGAATGGAGGGAGCTGGTGAGTTCGTATCCATTCCAATAGCTCCTGGTTCTGTTTCATAAGTTGTATCGTGGTTCTATGAAAGGTATCCATTCCCTCCAGAGGGGGAAGGTTTGTCGTTGTGAAGTGGTTTTCGGCGTCCACTTCGGGAATCAGGGGATTCTCTGGTAGGTTCTGGTGGGCTTGAGGGTTGGCAGAAGCTTTACTCATATTCCGAGTTGAAACCATCAAATAAAAATCAGATAAGGAAACGATGAAAATCGTTCCAACAGACGGTGTCAACTGATGGTATCGAAATTTGTGGCCCAAGCCCAACTAAGATGGGATGGTGTTATGAAATGGTTTTTGGAGGTTATGGATTAATCTTAAATGATCAGTTAGACTGAGAATATAAGTGGTTCACCTTAACAGAAAGACTAAGGCTATATCCATTATCAACGGAGTCTCTTGCTCGCTGGATTTTTATATTCATCGGTCGACAAAGTACCTCCTGTAACTTGGGACTCGGAGTCCACTTACAAAGGTTGAGTATCCAAGTATTCTCTCTCAATTTTCTATGCTCTTAGGCTCTCTAATGTTCTCCAAACTTTTTTTGGGGAAGATCCTCCTTTGACCTGGGTTATCGTTATCTATTTATATTAGCCCCTCTTAGGGCCTTCAACTGCCCTTTCCTCTGACCCCCTCCTGCTTCTTTTGCCACCACGATCACTACTCATCCGGCGTCCCTGTTCATCCGGCGCTGTCGTCGCCAAGATCTCTAGCGACCTGGTGCTCCATCTTCTCTAAGATTGCCGTAGGTGTCAGGGGTGATCCCCCTATATGCGTGGTCCCCTCTGTCCATCCAAAAATAGCTTGGACTGGGCTTTTATTCTCCAAACCGCTTTATGGTTTGGCTGGGCATGGACTGCTAGGTTATAGGTTTTTTGCCGATGCTAAGTCCTCCTTCTCTGCTTCGGGCCTCTTGGGCTGATCAAGCTTCTGGGCCATCAAAGCCTTGGCCTTGGAATTTCGTCCGTATCAGATCTATTGCTGAATTCTTATTTGGCATTTTTTTTCCCTAAAAAATATGGTTGTGTAACTCAAGTTATGTAATGGTTAGCCCCTAAAATTTTAAATTTTTAACCATGAACCAAGGATTTAGGTTGTAAAGCCAAAATCCATGTAAATACAATTTTTAAGAGGTCCCAAACAATTCAAAAATAGAAAGCTCTACCTAATTAGGAGTCATCATATCCATATTGAATTGTTACGTATGACCATTTAGCTTTTGTATAGGGGTTGTTACCCATTATTATTTTAAAAGACTTATAATTGATCATTTGAATATTTTCTTCAAATATTTAGTTTTATATTGGTGGCCTCACCCAGAAAAATTCCTAATTTAGTGGTTCAGTGTCTAAGTTCAAAGTCCAAGCATGAATGTATGGATACAAATGAAAATTTCTAAGAAGAAAATGGTTAGCATGTTGTCACGCCCGCTTCTAGAAGGATCTGGAGGAATTTAGAATGGAGGTTCGTGACTATATACATGCTAACATCTTTGTAAGATATGTTAGACATATAATATGACTCAAAATCGAAATCAAATCTTTTTAACGTACTCTCTTTATTTATACTACTAATAAAAGTACTTTAACATGAAAAACTTTTGATTCACTATTTTATCCTCATAAAAAATTAAAAAGGTCACTCTATCCTTCCACACTTAATATCTAAATTACCATCATATCTTTACACGTTTAAATCTCCAAATTACATCTAACTTCACTTTTAATTATATATTCTCTATGTATAATTGTCAATTTTCATGAAACTTTTTGATTGATTGTATTACTATTAAAAAATGTATGCATCATTATAAGTTTTAACAAATATTCAAAAATTTCATCAATATATTATTACTCTTTGTTTTTTTGTATTTTTTGCTTTCATCAATATAATATTACTTACCTTATATATAAAGATAATATTATGACTATATATTTACATTTTATTTTCATCAAAATGTTTAACTCTTTCATTTTTATGATATATATATATATATATATATAGTTTTATATAATGTTTTAGTCGCAGTAAACTTTTCAAATTGTGATAAAATTTTATATAAAAACTCATTTTTTTAAAAAAAAAATTAATATGTTTTATAATATATATTATAGCATTGTATATTAAATTTTATTCCAAATAACCTAGATAATTCTAAATACAGTAAGATTCTAATATGATTGGTATATTGATAATTATTTTTATTTTATTCAATGATTTATAAGTGAAAGCTAAATCAAATTAATTTTCTAATTATATACTCTCTATTTATAAATGTCAATTTTTATAAAAAAAATTTAATTGATTATATAATTCCTAAAAAATATGTGCATTATTTTACGTTTAACAAAATATTCAAAAAAATCTTTTTAAAAATTTCGTCAATATAATATTACTCATCTCATTTATAAAAATAATTTTGTGACTACATATGTATATTTTATTTTTCATCAAATGTTATACCATTTCATTTTTAAGATAAAAAATAATGTATATATAATTTTATATGATTTTTTAGTAACAGAAAATAATATTTTATGTGAAAGCTTAAATTTTTTTAAAATTTTAATATGTTTTATAATATATATTATAACTAATTCTAAATATAGTAAGTTTCAATACGATTAATATATTGATAATTAATTTTATTTTATTCAATAATTTATAAGTGGAATCTTAATCAAATTAATTTTAAAAAAATTTAAATTTCAATCATCACTAAAAAATCATTTTCAATTATAAAATTATAGAAACAAAATAGAAGTTTAATTATTTATTTTCTTTTTTATTATTTTTCTTAAAGTTAGAACAACAACTCTTGAAAATATACAAAATTTTCAAAAATTTTATAGTGGAGTATGAGAGATGAAAAAATAGGTTTGATAAATTTGAGAAGATGTTTAATTCAAATACATATATACTAAATATTTATTTATTAATTTTTTAAAAAAATTTATTTACGTGCAACACATGCAATACATTGCTAGTAAACTGAAAAATCGCTTTAGCCTTAAGTTATTTATTTTTAAATCAACTGGACGACATGAATTATAGGGCTTTAAAATTTGATTAAATTTGACAAAAAGACATTTTGTTGGTCTGATGCATATGATTTACGTGTACTAATTCAAAAAATACCTAATTAGAACGATTTTTGGTGATTAAAGAAGTATATATTCTTTAATCTCTGGTCAACTCTACGTGTCCCCAGGTGTGACGACCACATTCCTCTCAAAAAAAAAAAAAAACGGTTGACAAAACTAGAGTCAGTTAATAAAAAAGAAAAGAGAAATTAAAAAGTCAACATGAAAATAACAGCCAATCGGTATTGATTACACCATCATCAGGAGTTGGTGCTCCTGATCAGGGAGTCATATTTGTCAACGACACTAGTGGGGACCGCAACCATCACCTTCACAGCGTCCTTCTGATCATAGACAGGCAACATCAGACAGTACCTATCACAGCAAATGGGACCCACCTGCACGGGCCTACCAAGCCCAAAGTCTACCCTGTCTAATCCTAGCCTTGACCATTGCGACAGTACCAACACACCAACTGAGTCAGGACTCGCCTGACTCGAACTCACCATTTCCACAACTTCTCTCACGTACTGCTCGTTTACTCTCTCTTTCGCTCTCTTCATCAACTCTGCTGCGTACCCTAAACCTTTTTCTGTCAAGTCCTTCATGCTGTTCGGCGCAACCGAGTACGAAGGCGTT